TCTGATGGGATGCCTCACGGCCACATCCTGCCTTCACTCAGCAACGCACACCTGCCCACTTCGGAAACTGAGACGCCCACCGGGTCGACGGTTGGACCAAAGTTGAATAAAAAGATGATGTTTAGGTCGACGGTTGGACACAAGTTGAAAAAAGTGGTTTTTGGGTCGAAAAGTCAAAAAGTTGGACCATCAAACACCACTCGAGGGCAGTCTCTCGCAGTCAGTACAGAGGGAGAAGGCAGTCTACCGCAGGCCAGAGAACACTTGCAGAACTTCAACTTGTAGAAAGTGATGCTCAACTGTATGCCATTCTGGCATCTCCCCTCGCATCAACCTAGACTGTTCATCCCCATTACCCTAAGAAGAACCACGAAATCATTGACGCCGCATCTAGCTAGGCCGTTTGTGTCTCTCTGTGACTTTCGTCGCTGATGTGTGTCCGACCGTCGTCCTCGTCTTCCTCGCCGTCCTCGCCGTCCTCGCCGTCCTCGTTGTTCTCGTCGTTCTAGCTGTCCTCGCCGTTCTCGCGAGCCCCATTCGCCTTCATTCCAGCTCCCCAGCACTCAATAACCTGCGCAGTGTCTTCCATTGGCGGCAGCGCGTGGAGGGCGCCATCGGTGAGCCGAACCATGGCACCCGGGTCCATGGCTGCGTCTTCGGTGGGGACGGTGGCTGTGGTTGCATCCGGACCTGCGTCGCGCTCCTTCTCTTTCCTTGCCATACTCTTCCTCTGCCTCTCCCTCTCCCTCTCGATTTCGGCCGCGTGGAAGGACGGATGGACATAAACGATCCTGACGCCGCTGTCGAGCTCGATGATTTCCGGCATCTTGTTGTTGTTGGGGTCCGGCTTGGGGATGGATGACGCGCCCGGCACGCTGATCCAGAGGCGTCCCTCGTCGTCGATCTTGCGGGTGAAGAAGACCCCTTCCAGTTGAGCGGCCAGGCACAAGATCTGGAGGGACCGTTGTTGCTGCATCTCGGCGGGCTGGACGTAGTTGCACACCTGTCTCTCTTGGTAGTCGTGTTTCGAGTTCTTGAACCAGTCCTTGGGGAAGAGAGGGGGGTCACGAAGCAGCCCTTCCTGCCTCCGGACCTCGGCCTCTGTAGCGAGGGTGGGTGCAAGGGGGTCGATAACGACTGCGGTATCCTCAGCCTCTCTGGCGAAGAACAACCCCGCAAGCAGATAATGTTCCGGCAGTACGTTGGCGTACATCCGCTCCGCGGCCGGTGTCTCAATGTCCCGGTCCCTTGCGGCGTCGCTGGTCGTAGTATCTTCTGTTGTGACTGTGGACTCTCCTGTGGTGACGGTATTGTCGTCTGCAGTGACTGTACTTTCTTCCGGGGTGGGCGTGGTGGTATCTTTAGCTCCGTTGGCCGTGGCCTCTCCTACTGTGGACGTACTCTTGGCACGTGCTGCCTTTCGTTGTTGCTCGTGCTCGCGGTGGGACCTGAGGATGTCTTCGGTACTGAACCCGTACTTGCCTGGCTTCTCTCTCTCGTTGAGCAGGGAGCAAATTGTAACGAGTTTCGATTGAGTCGCGCTCTTGAAGGCCAGGCCGCCCCGGGTCTCGTCTTCGCGGAGAAGCATGTTGAGGAAAGGCGCTAGAAGCTCAGCATGAAATGCCGTACCGAACCATTCCACCAGGTCGGGCCGCGTCTTCAGGGAGCGCATAAAGACTAGGAGCACGTAGATGAATTGCCACACCCTTATGTCAAGTGGATTTGCCTTCTCCAAGAGGTAAAAAATCATGGTGCGGATCAGCTCGATCGTTGCATCATGGATATCCCTCGCGTTGGCCATGGCATGAGGGTCGTGGCGGTCCTCGGCCGTGATAAAATCGGGGGCCCACGCCACCATCATCGGACTCCACCTGTTATCGGCAAGGGGAATTCCCAGCAGTAATTGGCAGAGCAAGAGGCCGAGTTCGGCGCTGCAAGTGGTCAGTTCGAAATGGGAGGAATCTAACCCACGGGGCCAGCACATACCTTGGACGAATTTGGGATGTCTCAGCACGTCCACCGATCTTGATCTTCTCCAATGCCGCGTGGACAGCCTGAAGATGGTCACTCTTGTTATCCTTGTGGCCATGTGCCCTGAGAGTCTCGGGCTCCAGACAAGCAAGAATTAGGTGAGCAACAGCGGCAAGAAAGTTGTCTGTGTCGGCTCCCTCCTTATTCTGGGAAACAATCCGGTCGATGACCATCAGAAGGGCCTCCTGCGCGGCCAAAAATGGGGTCTTGACGACGAGGGACTTGGTGTAGTAGAAAAGCTTGCACACAATGGCGTCAACTGCGTCAGGCGAGGACCAAGATAGGAGTCGCTCCAGAACACCCCGGTGGTGGTAGATGCGACCGTTCGTGGGATCCTCATCCAGGACCCGAGTGTACTGCTCCATGGAAATCTCCATCCAGCGCTGCCTAGCGGCCATGTCATCGCTTTGGGTGGCCATTCTACACCGCAGATATCAGTCTCTGTTAGCACATCTGTCCATCGCACCGTAGAACCAGGGGCAGCGCCTCTACTTACCCGTATCGGGCCAAATCTCCCTTGCAGTGGACCCAGGTGAATTGGAGCTGCGTGACAGTCTCCTCCAGTAAAGACAGCTCCCGATATACCAGGATAATGAAATTGTCCAAGAACTCCTGAGATTCAGGAAGTCGGTTGCGCAGTATCTCGAGAAGGCCATGTATACCGTGGGTCCACATTCTTGTAGGCATGCAATACTTCCTTGCGAGTCTATGGAGTGCTGGTGATGCGCTGGGGTGTTGCGATTTGAAGAGAAAATTGTAGTACTCGTCTAATAGTTTGCGGTGGGAAACAAGGAGGTCCGCATACAGTTCCTCGCTGCGACTGGGGATCCACTGGCCTCCGACTAGCACCCGGTATTCATTGCCAATCTTCTTGGTGAGGGCAACAGTGCCGCCTGCTGAGTTTGCGGCGTCCTTGCCTGAATCCCCGGGCTCAAGCGGCTCCTGGGCGGATATGTCCTCGCAGATGACCATCTCGGAAGCCGCTTTAGAAGCGACCCATGCCTCCAGAGCAGCTATTTCTCTGCATGCTTTTTCGCTGTTCACCAAGCTGGCAAAGATGCGTTTCACTTCGGCGACCAAACGCTCATTGGTCTTCGAGCGGCTCTCAGGCTGCTTGAACATCGGTTTCGGGTCAAGTGGTAGGTCTTGATTATCGGATTTGGTGATCTGGGCCTCCGAAGCGACGGCGTTGGCGGACTCTTGTTGGTCCCCGTCCATGGCTGAGTCTAGAAGGAAAGGACCGTCAGAGGCGCGGCAGAGCTGCTGTAGCTGAGTCCAAAAAAGCGAAAAACGTGACTGGTGAATGGTAAATGAGGAGCAGAGCCGGAGTAACAAGGAGCACATAAGGACGGTGGCAAGCACGGTGGCAAAGTTCTTGTCAGTTAAAAGTAAAACAAAGACAAACTAGGTAAAAAGTGGGGGACAGCCGTTTGTTGCCCTGCCCAATTAGGAAGGCTAGCCAGATTAGATTTTCACGTCGGCACGTCAAACTGCCTCGCGCGCGTCCCCACTAGACAGATAGTCAATCAATCAAGTTGGTTCTACAAGACGTTTAATGTGTTACCTACATAATGGAGGGCTCAGTCTGTCACCTCTGCACCACTAACCCTCCTGCGAAGTCATATTGGAGACTGGAAAGGGTCGCCTGTACAGTAAAATGCGTCTTGCTTGTCTGTCCGAGGCGGGAGAGATATCCCGAAAACTTTCTCAAACTCCAACGTCTCGTTGTGCACCATCGAAGCCAGAACCTCATCTCTGAGTCTGAATGAGGCGTTGACCGCATCGCCTGGTTCAAGGAGAAATTTTCCTGACGCAATGTGAGGAAAAGGAAGACGCAGATAATGGACATGGCAAGAACCGAGCCCAGGGACGATGTCCATGTGCGGATTGGAGACAGTAATGCAAGGAGATGTCAACCACTCCAAGTCGTTTCTGGATGAAGCTTGTCTAGGATCTTTCGGTGTATGTACAGCACGAGGGCGATGGAGATTCCACTCACGTACAGCCACTGTCATCCTCCAAGAACGGCCGACCGACATCGACGGCTCCGCGTCCGCTTTTCGGGTCCGTGAACCATCCGATTTTGGCTTGCTGAATACTGGTCTACAAGAGCTCACAGGGGCCCAAGTTTGGCCATTGTACTAAATAAACTTGCTTTGTCCATATACTGCAGTTGCGAAGGCCATGTAAGCTCGCTTAAGAAAAGACCACGACATGGGACCTTCTGTGTGGCCCATTCTACTGTTCGTATGGCTGTCCGGGACCACAATGTCCCGCTGTTGTGACGCAGCTGGACACCGTAATCGGCGGAATTGGACCAGTAGTTACGGCTCTAGGACCGTCCCTCTGCTCACGTCGGCGGATCAGGATCGCCTCGTGCAACTTGGAGTGTGCGATTCGGGCTACAACGATGTATATCCGACTCCTCGTGAGGTGTGGATTAGCGAAGAGGGGCCTTACGTCAATCGTTTCCACAACCAGGCTGGGGAGGACTTGATTTTGGTCATATGGGGCCAAGAAATGCTTCCTCTGTGAAGGGATGCCGTGACGGCAACGGTGGAGCTTCTTTGCCCTCTAGACCCGTTGGTCATTGCTGGAAGCGTCGACGACGAATGGATTGCAATCCTCCAAATTGACGTATGGTAACATTGCCACTCACGGAGTTCCATCACAGAGGGGGGGGATCCGCCCATATCAACCACAGGGGAATCTACCATTTGCACCTGTGCCCGTATTGTCGAGATGTGATGTTTGAAAGGAATGTTCATTGTAAGATGGATATTTCCGAAACGATCGAGCTCCACGATGCCATAATAACGGCCGTTGATAAAGACACGCGGCTGGAGAGCACGAATATAGCTCTACCACTTTTCAAAGCCGTCATGTTTCACTTTCCAGCGACACGAGAAGTGGACAGATAATAGGCCAACAAACACGTCTTCTGGATCTTGGTCAACAGAAAGACCCGCCTACCTCGATCTTCCAGAGGAGGCCGGCGCGGCGGGCTTGTTGTCCAGGATCTCCTCGATCTCCTCTATGGTCTTGTCGTCCAGCTTTTCCAACAGCTTGAGCGCCTTGCAGTTGTCCACAATCTGCTCGACCTTGGTGGCGCCGAGGATGACCATGCTGACATTGGGGTTCTTGGCGCACCAGGCCAGCGCCAATTGTGACATGTTGCCGCCCAGTCGTTCGGCGATTGGGTCAACTTCTTGACCTTTTCGATCTTGGTCTTGCATAGATTGCCTCGAATACATCATCTGGGGGAAATACTGACAATATCTCAGCTAAGACAGCATTTAGCGCCGTATCTCCGCTTACCATGCATTTCGGGAATGTAGTGGTCCGCCAGCAGGCTGGACGTGACAACGTGGAGGGCTTGATTGTCGATCCAGGACTGCTTCTGATGTTCAATAAGGAACTCGGTCATTGACTCATCTAGTATCGAAGAGACTGGGCGACATTGGCAGGAGGCCAGGATAACGTCGAGAGGCTGTTCGGAAGATTGTTGCAACTGTTGAATTGCCAGGTCAAGGAAATCTACCACGTGACAGAATGTGAATAGGTAACGTGTCTCCACTCGAGCAAGACGGACTGCATCTGCTGCATCCAGAAGGCTCTCTTTCAATTTGCGGTATCGAGTAGTGCCCGAGAGCGAGTGTTCGGGGTATAACGGCACGATGGAAATAGCAGAGAACAAGGTCGAAACAGGCATTTCACTCACCTGAGAAAGGCGCAACGCGGTACTCGCTGCCGTGAGCGTCGAGGCCATGTCGGTCGCCAAAATAAGTTGCGGTCTATCGCAGCTGCGAAATGTAGAAGCTGGACCTGACCTTATCCAGGACGCGAGCTCCAGAACGACGACATCCAGGCCTTGATAATCCGAAAGGATAACACAAACAACCTCGGCGAAAGGACAAACAATCCGACCGCAAACCACAGCATGCGGAGAGGCTTTCGGTGTGAATACGCCGAGACCCTCTTACTTGGGTATAATAACATGGTCTGTTCAGTGACAAGGACATAACTCATGAGCTTCTGACAACCTTTCTTGCAAGTCCCCTTGCACCAAGACAATAGGCGGTGCTGTTCCAAATGCAGAGCTAGGGTCAAGATGCCTTTGAAACCCGCTGGGGCAAGAACTTGGTATGAAGGCCGACGGCCAAAGAGTTCGTACCGCTGATGCTCGAGTCTGCCGTCCGAGCAGCACCATAAGGCGGGGACATCGTTCGCTCGGAATCGACACCTGATTCATCAATTGGCGGGGACGTCATGTCACCAGCAACCCAAACCCGTTTTCGTGACTAGTGCTCGCACTAAGCCAGGTGGCATGCTTACAAGACTAGCGAGTCGTGGGAGTCATGACGAAATGCAGGTAGTCTCCGAGACTGACAATGTTGGCGAAAAAGTGATGGGAGTGATGGGGGAAATGGAGATGCTCACCTATTCAAACTCCATGGTGGGGCTGGTCTCGAATGCGAGGCCGTGTTGACAGCGGGAGAGACTCCCCCCGAGATGGCAGCGGGCATTAGTGCAGGCCCAAAAGCGCTTCCTGAGCTCACGGTAATCGCCGCTGTAACATTTATCATGAAGGTGGGTCTGGTCGCGGATCAGCGTGCGTCGCTGGTCTTTCCAAGAACGGCTGTCGGATGGGAGATAAACACCACGAAGGCCAACAGCACTTGATCCTACACACGTGCGGCTTGAACGAAATAAGAATCGGCTGGACAGGAGAACCTCTAGTCCTGTTCCAAGCCATTCTTCGCGCAAGCTGACACCATCCAGCCAACGCCATCAATGTGGTCGCTCTAGGTATGAGCGCTCCACAAAGGACACGGGATCGACAGGCACCAACTTCTCATCGCATTGTAAGGACGGGTATATGATAGTTCCAATGGAAGGCCTGCCAGACGCCGTACAAGTGGACAAGACTCGCGGCCACGACACAGACGTGGAAAAACTGGTGGGAGGAGAACCAGATGTCGAATTTGCCCGGCCCTTTGGATTCGGGAAACCGGGTGACGAAGAATGCCGCGCCCATGCCGTACAGCACACCCTCGAGGAACCAGTACGGCATACCGGACCGCACCTACATCTCAGCCTAGCCGTACCGGCACAAGCCTTGGATAATTGGCTCAAACCCGGAGAGCGCCGTGCAGATGAACGCATCAGTCCGATGAGGTCGAAACTTCAAACCCTGAAGCTTAGTATGCAGGACGAGAGCCGAGGATTAGAGTTAAGATGCCAATGTAGTCAAGGCGCAACGCAAGATTCTCGACATGCTGCGAGTGGTACATTAGCATGTGGTAGCACGAGGACCAGAGAGCATCGTGACGACGGCGGCGTCGACCTGAATGGCGAATGCCACGTGGTCAGCCACCAATGCCTCAGAGTAAAAGAAATTAAAGTTAAGGTGCCCGATCGCCTGACTGAAGATCAAGCAGATGGCTGGGACAAGGTGCGTATAGATATTGACCGTTTCGTTGTGGATCTGGCCCAATGACCAGAGACAGGGCGTGCACTAGTTCGCTACGGGCCGGTACCCCGATCGACAGAATTTGTTGTCCTGGTATCAAGCAGGCAGCTGCTCGTATCGAACCAGTCATCGGGAAGTGTGTGTCGACGTTGCGGTTATGAATTTGGACAAGTCGTCGCACATAGCCGAGAGGCTGGTTGCTCGCACTCGCGGCCCAGCCAACTTGAACCAGCGAGATGCGAGAATGGAGGACATGAATGTTCGAAGGGCACAACCGAGAGTGCACGAGCAAAAATGCTGTAGCTGCCACAATAGGGGCAAGAATGGAGGCTCAGAACGGGGTGATCGATCCACGGTATACTGATCGAATCCAGTAATCCAAGGCTGGTACGCGAAGCAAACTGTCCTAGCAGAGACTCATAGCCTCGTGCCTGTGACCGCCAGCGACCTCAGCAATAAAAGACGCATGAAATGCTCCTCCAGAGGACCAATGCGTAGTGAACGCTAATTGAGAGAGAGAGAGAGAGAGAGAGAGAGAGAGAGAGAGAGAGAGAGTGTGTGTGTGTGTGTGTGTGTGTGTGTGTGTGTGTGTGTGTGTGTGTGTGTGTGCTGTTGAAGGGCGGACGGAAGCTGGGCATCGTCACAGTTACAGATGTCAATTCCTTGATACGTCCAGTCTCGCACACACTTCTGAATTCGTATGGAACCTCGGACGAGTCGCACCGGTACTGTTTTTAGAGACTCGTTCTACCGTCCGTGGCTCCACCCCTTCCTACTGACCATGTCAAGGACGACACGTAGGGTTGTAAAACATGGCTACGGACGCAAACGTCGGGTGCATAAAGCTTCGCACGGACTTTCACAGAAGCCACGACAGACATTGTAGTGTAAAAGCTACCTATTACCTACCATAACATAGCGTTTGGAGGCTCAGACTCAACTCCTCCGCAACTAACATATCACAAATAGTGAGCAGGACTGATATTTTCCCGATCGTTAAAAAAGATCGTTAGGATACAAACGGTCTCGGTGAGAAAGACGAGGACTGGGAAAGTGACTTTGTCAACTATGACAGGTTCGACATTAGAGATTAGGGAGGATCCTAGCACTAAGAGCTGCCAGGACGATCATCCACCAAGCAGGGGAGACACGGACAACCATGAATCACTCGAAGGTTTCGTGGTTGGCCTAGGCGAATGCGGTACAGGAGATGAAGTCTCGTATCAGTATTATGATGAAATTCAATCTGGCGAGCTTGAATTGCGGGAGAGGTTGTTCAGGCCATCTCCCAGTCCTATGAGACTTCGATTTGCACTTCCTGCTGCCGGTGTTTATCATCTGGACCACATCGTGGATGATACCGAGGACGACATGAAGGCTTCCAAGGCTGATACTGAGGACGACAGCGATGCTGACGCCTGCAGCGAGGACGACGAGGACGTGAGCAAGAACGACAGAGGACCATAGCGAGTACTGTATTACATTGAGAATGAAAGTCAGGACACTGAGGATTAGATGGAAGACTTGCGTGGCCGTCTCTGGTCTTAACTGGATCGGAAACAGCTCGACCCGTTCCAAAAATCTATTTGTAAAAATAAGAGATGGGGGAGTACGGAGCCTTGTCTGGTTGTTTAAGCAAGCGTGACCCGATCTAATGCGCAGCCACCTCGATTGGAATGCGTCCTTCCCGGCACACTCCTGTCTTTCCGAATGTATGTGCATGAACCATGAGTGTGACCACGGTGCTGGTCACCTCGGTTCACAGAGTAAGCTATTTTCAAGCCACAGTGAAACCATTTAACGAGATATTTGAGAATTTTCTTCCACCATCATGCTCGGTAAGGAAATCAAGAAGCGAACTCCTCCCGACACATGGAAAATGAGTCTATGGGCTCCGTGATTCGCCGAAAACTTTTCTTTCTAGCTCATCTATCAACGCGGCGATCCTCTCGCGACCTTCAACAAGCTTTCTTTGACTCTTTTTGCGGGTTTCTAGTGTGCCATGAGCCTACTGTAGACGATGCCGAATACAGTCGTCATATTTCTTGAGTCTAATTCACCCCCTAGCACAGATTTATGAGGATGAAATCGGCAACACTCACTGCTGATAGTCATGGTCCATGATACGTAGAGTCCCGTGCTTCGGGAATTCCTTTCCCTTGATGTGTTGGGCGAAAGCTGAGCTTATGATTGATTGTCCGCGACCTGTGTGTCTGTCACACCATAAAGAGGAGAAGTTGTTGAGCAAGTCGGCGACCAAGAATGCTGTGAAGGACATGGGCGAGACATTGCTTCACCCAAGCTGGCGTTCAATGATTGGTTAAATGACAACGTGAGGGCAGTGCACAAGTCGCCCGGTAGAGAGAGGCTTTAAGACATTTCTCCAAGTTCGTAATCGAAACTTCGTTGTAATCCCAGATGTTCAACCATACTGTGTGCCAGGAAGGACGCATTACAACCGCATTAGATCGGGTGATGCCTCAACAAGCACGCTAGCTAGATGTTGAAGAACCTCTTGACTGTGGAAAAAGGAAGGAGTTTAAGGGAATGGTGGAGACGATGGAGGAGGGCCGCTCAGTCGCAGATCGTAGAACAGTGGGTCGGGACTGGAGCCAGGACCAAACCTTCGACCAGTCAAGCGACCTAGTCTCTGCTCCGGCCGGACGATCGTGTAGGTCTCGCGCTAGCATCTAGGGGCAACATATCTCCGGCTACCCACACTTGATGAGGCCCCAATACGGACCTCACCTGTTGGGGTATGGGACGGGACCCACGGATTCTTTGCAAACAAGAAGTAAATACTCAACTTGGATCAATCTTGCGGTACTGTATCAGACTGCATGGTACAAGAAATAAGGACAGAAATTTGCGCTCCTCGAAGCCGCCTTGGGAATGAATGCCAAATGATGCCGGCATTTCGGCCGGATCATTCGCCGTATTTTCCAAAACTGTCCACATATCAGTTGTTTCCGCCAAATAACCCTACAAGCTGCCTCAGTCTCACCCACCCTTCCTCCTCCTAAGCCACATCTCACCACAGTCCGCTAAACGCCCTCGGGTTTCTTCTCGTCCATTCGCGAAGACATGCCTCTCCACGTGTCAAGGGGCTTTATATATTCTACGAGCAGAACGGGGGTATATGTTATGTCGCAAGCTTTGAAGACGGGTGAATTCTGTCAGGCCATGTCAGTGCCAGCCAGACTGGCTTTTCCTACTTTTCACGAGTCTGTGGATGGGATACCAACCTTGATAACGTAGAATGCTGCCATCGTGAGAGTTAGAATGACATCTCGCTCGGGTCTTCTACTGGAGCATGGAAGCGCTCTGGTCCATATGAAGCGTGACCGATGGTCGAGGATGGAGGGAGTTAGGGTCAAATTGGCGTTCAAGGCAAAGTTTCAAGGCATGAGGTACTGGATCTACAATTACCGTGTCACGTCCCTTGTGGTCTTCACGGCCTTGTTTTATGGCGTGAGTGTCACCAGCATGGCGCTGGGGTGGGCTGTGATTTCGCACATGCTCCTTGGCGGTGAGGGCCAGAACAGGATCAAAACGGAAGGGAGGGAGAGGATGCCGGCGACGGGCACGCCGATCAAGACCGAACACGAGTCATCTCTGGCGCTGCCACCAAAATCAGGTCGCTGGTGAGACCAGCCCCTAGTTCTGACTTTGCTCTGCTCTTTCTACCTTGGTAAACCGAAGATGATCTAAGATATCGAAGGCACGCGGGGTCAAATTGCAGTCTATACGAAGGAGCTGGATCCAGTCGGCAAATCCAAATGCACTGCGGGAAAAAAATAAAACCGTGTCGACATTGTCAAATATCTTGAATTGGATGAAGTCGTAGCTGGGAACTTCAGCGAGGAGCTCTTCCACTCAGAACTATCCACCAGCGACGGCGACCAGAAATCACCTGGTGCCAGAAGGCACCACGTTTTGTGTCAGGATCCTTTTGGGCCCGCCCATTTTCCCATGGCTCGGGCATCAAATGCCCACCGCGAAACAAAGAGTGCATGACAAGTATAATGTCCTATATTCCGAGAATTCTGGCTTTGGATAAGTCGCAAGAAGAACAAATGTTCTGGCCTGTCGTAATGCCCAATCATGTTGACGGGGATCTTTTCTTGACGTTGCTGACGGTGGTGACAATCTTCCTGGATCGAGCAGACGAAGCGAACGACATAGGACAAACTCCAGGAAATTCACGAGAGCTTCTATTGTTCCTGGGGTCCTCGGATGTTGTTTTTATTGATTCCTGAAGAGTTTCACTTGAACCACACTGTCTCAAGGTTGGCTGTTCAGGATATTTATTATCTTTGCCCCATTACCACCATCCACTTGAGGCTCCGTTCCTCTTCTTCATGCTATGCGGTAGGTGTTGCGAACCCATGCTGGGCAGCCGATCGTACATGCCACTTGCAGATTGACTTGCCATTGTCTGGGACCTCCCTGGTGGAGGGGCGCCGCCAAAGATATTGTGAGTATCCGCAAGCGCCCAGAGAAGAGCGCCATCTTCTCCATCTCCCAGAGTAGTCTGACAAATACTTCGGTCGTGAGTGTGCAGACACGCTGATAGGAACACTACCTCTCCGGAAGTAGGCGTCGATGCTCAAGTGGCTCTGTCTCTTTCCCCCTTCGTCATAGCCATGTAGCTGAAGATGATGGCAAAAACGCCGATGCTTCACAAAGCACACCAACGAATGAAAAGAACTGCAATTCCTTGATGGAAGCTTGTTTGGGTTTACACAGTGCCTTGTATTTAAATTAGAGTGAGGGTATGGCGATAGAAACGGGTTTTGGATTTGGACAACAATCACTGGTGCTCGTCTAACAAGATTGGGAAACTCCAAATACTCATGACTTTTCCGCGCTGGTCTTGCCGGAAGGGTGTCTGTGATAGAACCAGATCCGACAGTCAAGGGGCAAGAGCCCGCCAAACCCGCAAAAGAATCGAAAAACAAGCACTTTGCAATGCTTGAACCTGAGCCCTGGCATAGCTTTACCTGGATGAAGTCGCACCTAGACGGTTCAGACACCGAGACATGTTGGAGATCGGCACGTCGCGCATCCGGTGTCCGAGTCTTTTCTATGCGTCATCAGGCTCTAGAGGATGGGACAAGGCTAGCTAATCAAGTTCAGAATATTCATCACGCAGGAGCCTCGAACGTCCTTTTCCACAATGTATCGCCACGTCAGCTGCTCGCCTACTTCTTCCGAAACTCAGGTGACGGCAAGACGGCGGGGGCGGAAGCAAATGCAATGGCAAAGAATTTCTTGGTCTTAATCTCAGTACTTGGTCCTGGGGATCCAACAGTCAGGATACAATAACAACCACGACAAAATGACATTCCCCTGGCGTTGCAAACATCTTCATTGCTATTGACCCCCGTGCTATCTGTGCGATCATGGCAGGGCTGAGACTGGGACTGGGGCGCAGAGATGCATGTCTTGTCCCCAGTCTGTCCTTGTCAAGAACTCAAATCTCCTCTCGAAGCCAGCTGATCAGTACCAATTAGCCTCCCGGTTTTCGCACACTCGCTCCCCGGATTTCTGCCATGATCGGCGTCTAGACTTCTTTTCTCCTTCTCTGTCCCTCGCAGTTCCCCGACGACGAAAGATCGACACTGTTTGTTACAAGTGGTTGTCCGTACAACCGACGAGGCGCTGGTGCATTTGTCTATTTCGCTGACACTTTGAGCGAGGACACAAAGGCCACCATACTGCACAGCTTTGTTCCAGTTGTAAAGGCTCGCCATATGATCCTCGGCTCCACAGTTGCGGCAGGTTCTCTTTTCGCGAGTAGGGCAATCCTTCGCCATGTGGTCCTCGTCACCACAGTTCCGACAGACTCGAATCTCCTTGTTTGGACAGTCCTACGGCATCATGTCAGTCTTGGTTTGGCCACAGATGCAGTGGGGACAAGACATGTTCCTCAGACTCGCAACCGGTGCCGTGAGCCAGCCCAAGCTTCCTCGCGTAGGCGGCCACGAGCTCGCCGGGACAGTCGTGGCCCCGCCGTCTGAATGCATGGATGACTTCAAGATTGGAGACCGAGTGGCTGTTGCCGGCCGTGGCTACCACGCGTGTCGAACTTGTCTAGAATGCCGGAACCCTTCTGGCCCAGAGCCCGATGAACTCGGCTTCGCTGTATACTGTCCACATGCCGGTGGCGGCCTGGGTATCAACGATCCCGGCGGCTTTCAGGAATACGCAATCGATCGCCGAAGGAAAGCGTAGTGTCGAAAAACCGAGCAGCTGAACATGAAGTCTACAGCCCAGTCAGTCAGAGGGGGGAGAGGCGTGATTAGGGAACTTTCTCGGAACATCTTGGAAGAAGAGATTGAGGAAAATTGAGGAGCACTGATGCGAAGGATAGACTGCGATAGCATGAAAGGGGGGGGGGACTGCGACGAATGTCTCCCCAGATTTGCAGGAGGTGCCCAAATTAACACCGGATATGGAACACAGTAATGTCTGCGCGTTGACCCGCGGGAATTGCCGCCCCGAAGGTGCCCAAGCTCCTGAATATTCCCGTTTCGACTTGTGAAGCTGCCGATCCATCACTCAAATCGCCCTTCAATTGATCTCGGTGGCCTCTCTGTATTTGGCCAGCTCCTGTTGCCGGAGGGCTGTGACCCCGGTCGAGCTCGGCCTTGGTTTGGATAAGATTGGCCTTTGATGCCTCCGCATTGCGATGGAAAGTACAGTACTTCTCCTTCGCCCGCTCCATGGCGTTCAGCACCACGTTGAACTCTTCAGCTAGACTGCTGTGGAGGCTATCGAAACGTTGGCTGTGGTCGAAGGTCGATTGTGTCTCGGGTATACTGACCAAAGTCGCCCAACGGATGTCCTGGGTTCTCTGTTCTTCAGTTGGCGTCATCAGAAAGTGCATGTGCCCTCCTGATGCCTCGGAATCGGCACCTCTCGAGGAACCAAGAGCAGAAGTTGAACGGCGCATGCGTCTTGCCGCGGATGAAGGTTGAGGAGGGCGCCTGGCCACACCGAGGACTTAAGCTTGAGCTTTCAATAAGTATGGCTTCGCGATCAAATGCGCCTCGTGCATGGCGTAGCCCCCCATCCCTGGCCTCCCTTCCTTGATTTCCTTCTCTCTGCGCCTTCCGATTTCCAGGCTCGCTTGATGTGTTGGAGTCACGCGGATCATGAGCACGTCACCGTCCCCCTCTTGTCTCACCCGCGCGCACACCATCCCACTCGCCCTTGCGCCCATTGGGTCGCATCAGTATCCAAATGCTCGCTTGGCCCGAAATGCCACCAGTGCGAGGCCGGCTCAGCGGGCAGTGGCAATAATTCCAAGCCCTCCCCCGAGCCGCTGCGACGATCCGTATGGATTGAACATCGGCGCTGACGGTCACCTCTCGAAGCAGGTGGGACTGTCGTCCAGTGGAAGGGCGGCGGTGGTCGACAGGTAGAGCAAAACGATCCAGCGAGGTCTCCCCTGGAGGGACTTCGCCGTGGTAAGCGTGGCGGCCAGTTCGAGGACCGCGGCGATAATGTAGAAGGGGAGCGTCGACCACGGCAAGACTGGGGACCGCAGAGGGAATAGGACGGCGTCCAGTGCGGGCGAAATTTGGAAAGGTAGACCGCTTGGACCTGGTAGGGAAGTTTGACGTTAGGAATCGCGTGATTTGCATTGTGACGGTGTCGTGACGATCAATCCAAGCCGATACTCTGGATGCAATCAATAAAGGGATGGGAGATACAGTAGCCGTGGAGGACTGGACTTGTGGTTTTGGGGGAGGGGGGGTTACTCGACGGGCACCCCCGGAATTTTGAACTTTGGGCGCTCGCAGGCGCTCGACAGGCACTCCCAGAATTCGAACCTTTATCTAGCACCCAGCACCCAGCACTCAGCACTGTGCAGGCCAGAGAACACTTCCAGAACTTCAACCTTTTCTTTTCAGCGAAGCTCAGCACCCAAGACTGTCTGGTACGATCACATCCTTCGGCATCTAGATCCAACAATACCATACCCCTTCCAAGGCTGTGACAAGCTTTACACAACCCAGGCTGGTCTAAAGTCCCACATCCCAGCACTCCCTCTGGCACTCAGCACTTAGCGATTAATGAGTTACCGTTCTGGAGTAGTCCACGAAAGATAGCAAGTGTGTGCCTGGCCTGTGTTGGGGAGGTTGCGGGCTTCCAGCGTGTCAAACAGCGGTATATGGTCATCTAAAGGCAAGATCTCTAGCGGGGTGTCTGAAGCCGCGGCCCCTGTGGCAAGCAAAGAATATTGGATTGTGTCGCGCTCTCAACCTGATGACGCCGGAAGGAGGCTCGGTTCGGAGGAACCAGCGCCACGACCCGGCCTCCTGATTGATCGTGTCCACCTGTACAATGTACAGGCAAGAACCCTACCCTCTGACTGGTCGGCTGTACGATAACTACGCAAGGGGTATATGACCGCGCAAGGGATGCAGACCAAGAGGGTCTTGGCAGCTGGAACACCGTACGCAAGGGACAGATGGCGTATGCAGGAATAAGGACGCAAGGGAGAGAGGAAAGACATTGGATACCTCTCACAGCAGGGTGTACGATAGAACTCCTTCCAAACCCTCACAAGAACCACAGCATTTCAAAGGCGAGTTCGTCCTACAACCTTTTATGGTCCCTGGGTATGAATGGTATATCTAGTCACACAAAAGGTGCTACTTTCCCAGACGATTACCAAGGGCAATTTGCCCCATCCACCGACTTCGGGGTCAACAAGTCGGTACAATGCCTACCCTTGCAGAACCACATTCCGCAATCAAGGCGGAAAAGAAAAACGCCAGCGTCGCATGTGAAGCGTGTAAATCCGCGAAAAGAAAGGTGATCACTTAACTCCGTCTGATGCTGCATCTTCTGATGTCTACTCGACAGTGTGATGGCGGTTCACCTTGCGGACTCTGTGCAAAAGGCGGATTGGTCTGTGTGCTAGATCCTACGAAAGATGGACGAAGACAAGGATCGAGATTGGAAAGGAGCCAAAAAGCGGTCGCACTGGACCGGCTGGTTGCTATAATTCAAGGCTCCCCGAAATCAGACGTCGAAGATCTGTGCCAGAAAATAAAGGATGCACTAACAATGGACGATGTTCTCAAAATCGTGAATAAATTCGGTGATGGTGGAGAGAGGATGCGCATTCAATACCTATTGCGCTGAGCGGAGTAATGCATCGAGAAACTGGGGAGCTGGGGAACTACGTAAAGGCAATGAGGAACTGGGCGAGCACAACAACGAACTCTGGGTCCTCCAGGAAAGGGAGAAGCGCAACGAAGAGCAATTTGGAGCTGTACGGGGCGGCGTCAACTCCAGCAACGAATAAAAGCAAGTGGTGTTGGTACTATCGTCACTGCTCGGCGCGTCGACAACCACCAGACGGACTGCAGGCCTCATACGCACTCGTGAAGGAGCGTCGGACGCATAACCTAGGAATGCCTGTTGCGTCGCCCAATCCTTGGTTCTTGTGCTCGCAGCTAGGGTTGGCGAAAGTTGGACGATACCATTGTCGCTGTTGCTTCAGGAATCGGGAATTTGCTGTATTGGCTGTGCCTGGCTCTTAGCTTCGCTCGCACCGGACGGTGGAACTGACTTCTCTTCGTTCTTTTGTCCGTCGACTATGTCGCTCGAGTGTGGTACATTCGCCACACCACCGCTTGGTTCACAATCTCTTCTTGACGATTCTTGAACAACTCAGCTCGATCACAACGCTCCGTGAGCTTTGCCATTACCTCCTTCTTCTCTTTATCGGGAACAGCGCCCCATGGTATGTCAATGTTGACCAATCGGAGTTTGGGCTTTCTTTACAATACGAGAGATATTCCACATCAGTCTGACAGCTGGCTGCTGAGATGCTCGTGTCTGATGTGCCGGGAACGTCGACTGGTTCCGGTTGGCTACTCTCTCGAGCAACCAAGGATTCTCCACCTAGAGAGAATAAGCGACCATTGATTGACCAGGCGAATAACAGGACTTCGAAGCGAGCTTCGGCAAACGGCCTTCGCCCCAACCCGACCTGACGCATTCGCTTGACGTATGTCAACAGCTTTCCGCTCATGCTAGGCGGTGTCGGATCAAGAAGTCATTCCTTGTCTCCCTCTCATGCAGATTTATGCAGACCGGTGCTCTTGTGGGACCCGCACCCGCCTCGGCCTCGATCTCCTTGACATGACGCTTCAAATCGGCGACAGAAGAGGCAGGAAGCGCAAGCGTAACACCGTAGCAGGGGACAAGATCCACCTCAAAGAGCGAGAGGGCGGGATTGGAACTGAATTGCGCAGGTTCAAGAATAGCTCAGGCGATGATGCGGAAGTGGTTGATCTCGACATCAATAACACCACGAACGAGATGGACTTGAATGATGAGCTGGATGAAGATGAAGGACAAGACGACGCTTTGGCCCTAATGAGACGAGGTGAGGAAGTGGGCAAGGACGAACAGACCACGGTGCCAGTCTCTCCGCAGAGGGCCTCAGAACGGTTGCTGCAAATGAGACTACGGCCTTCTGCAAAAGTAGCGAGAATAGCTCTGTATGATACCTACCTTATGTAGTTGACTGTTCAGAGGCTGAAAAAATGACGGGAAGGGTGAACGCACGGGATGTCTTCGTTGTCTTTGTCTCCCAGGATCCAGCGAAAGTTTTGTCGTGAGCGTTCTGAATTGCCTCGTACCGATAGTCCATGTCGGCATATTCGAAGCTTGATAGGATCGCTGCTTTGAGGTATTTCGCTCTGGCTTCGCTACATCACTTCCCACCTAGGACCATTCTAGCTTCGACTGCTCATGGTTGTTTTGCCCAGCTCCGACCATACATACCAGAATGCTCCGTAACCAAGTTGGCAGGTTTTATGCTCGCTGCAGATGCTGCACACAGTAAGTCTAACAAGACGCTGCGGAACGTGACACTGACGCTTCCCCCAACACAGAGAGAGCCGGCCCCGACAAGTAGTAACAAGGCATGAACGCAAGCCGTGCCGGAGGTGATGTACACCTGCTCCAGACGGTTGATGATACTACTGCCGAGGAAGTTCAGCCATTCATCTGGGCCATCACCTGCCTCCTCGTTCAACAGGCACGACCACAAGCCGAGCTGAAGACCTCAGCCAAGATCAGCGAGCGCAAGGAGGCCCGCGGACCCTTTGCCGTCCGCCTGCCCCAATACGGGGACGGATTGTTCCACCGGCGCGACATCAGCGTCGCCTCCAACGAGGACGTGTTTGGCGGCATCGAGGCCGTCTCTCAAAAGATTTTGTTTGTCAGCCATTTGTTCTTGCGGGCGGACTGGACAACGACGGTCAGAGAAGGGTCGCATCATCTCGACACGGAAGTCTGACCTGGAAGAAATTTGCGAACATATGATATTACAGATCGAAAACCCCATAGCAGTCCTCACTCAAGACCAGGTGCGTCAATTCATTGCCAGCTCGAGTCCCGTGGAAAAAGTATAAGTTCTTCATGAAGTGCGTCCAAATTGAACAGCTTGATCAGGACTACCGACTCATCGAGGAACAGTTCGACAATATTAGTGTAAAGACCGCCGTCAGAGGCCTGGATCTCAAAGTCTTGAAGGAGAAAGCGGAGATTTACTAACCTTAATACCTCTTTGTTCCGAGCAGATCGGGGTTCTCTTAGGGGGTAATTCCATGGTTTTCGTATTTCTGCGCCGCCGGCGGTTTCGGTGTTTGCTTGTTGGGAGGAAAGCGGTGTATTGGACCCAGACAATATAGCAATAAGCCTCGACTCCGGTCATGAGATGCCACCAGCCATGCCCCTCAAGGAAGAAGCCCCACGGCATGCCGATATTCCGCCTCTAACGGACCAGCAGATGCAAGCGACAGCCAGTCCAAAACAATGCTGACAGCTTTGTATTCTTCGATGGTTGCTGACCGCCCTCCAGGTCTTCTGACGCCAAAAGGCGCCTTTGAGATGGGCGTCGCCACGGAAATTATGGCTGCGGAAGGAATGGTTGTAGCAGCTTTTCTCGTGTACTCGGTAGCTGCACTACGAGAGATCAGAGTCATACCAGCCTGGTTTTACGCCTACAGCTTCGGTTACGCCAACAGAACCATCATACTGGAAAGCGTGGGTTGCACGTACCATTCACGGGTCATCGAATCCGCTCCACTCTCATCAAAATCCCGAAAGCGCCACTGAGTACTCCATAATGTGCGTGGCCTCGACCTATTCCACATCGATTCAGCTATCTTGCCCCAAAGCCAGCCTTCCTGAATAGATTTCAGTACGTCAGGTTGTTGCAACCCTGGTTGTGATGGAGGCTCGGTTCTACCATCACACTCATGTGCTCGTACACTCCAGGCTGCACCTGATCGCACCTGATTAAGAGTTAAGAGCCAGTAGACAGACAAACTCCTTCATAGTCCCTCTCTTGTAGAAACCAAAGAATCGCGCAGAGAGAGAACACGGCCTTTCTGTGCGCATTACGGTGATACAAGGAAAGGTGAACAGTCATGTATATCGACATCCACATTTTCACGTCCACGTCTAACGTCCAAATCCACAAGATGACGCGGGGGCGTTTCCATTTGCATCCTCCGTATCTTGAAAGGCTGAGGTCCAACCAACGCTTTTGCATCATTCATGGTCTCCAAGGATCACCACTCGTCGGAGTCGGTAAGTGACGGTGACATTTTCCTGCTTTTTCCTCCAAGCCCTCTCAATCCGGACCCGTGTCAGGGCGTTTTTCAAATTTGCGAGTTCGACGTTTTGAAATGTCCGTGATGGCTGACAGCGTTCCTGTTTAGCGGATATTGTCCTTGCGTCGGACACTTACTGGCTCCATGCCCCATTTTCCGAGCTTGGCCTCGTCCCCGAATTTCGGGTCTGCCGTAAACTTGGACAAGTCTAGTGGTTGAACAGAATCTCAATCCTGGTTGGGAGCCTTGCCAACTCCATATTGAGCAGGAGGCTTCCCTAGCCTGTTGGCTACCTGCTGACGAAAGTGATTGCTGTCTGGGACGTGGAATGCCGTCCTTCTCGTCCTCGCCGTCCGGCATTGACTCCGATCGCAACCATGGGTTAACCTCCAACCTGTTTGCTGCGGCTGCGGTTTGGGCACGCCTAAGCCGAATGTCGGTAGACTGCTCTGTCGCTGCTGCTGCTGCTGCGTCTACGGCTAGCCAAACAGCGACGTCGAAGAATAAAGATTAAGGATTGGGGATTGAGGCATGTCGAATGGCGGCGCGATATTCAATAATGTAGTGCAGTGCAGTGCAGTACACGCAGTAGGTGTTCATCCCCATCGACCAGCTCGGATCGCACGAATCGCCATGATACTGGGAGTCGATCCCTCGACGCCCGGCACGGAGAAAACCGGTGGAGGCGGTACTCACGACCTCCAGCACTGTCCCGGACCAGCGTGGCAACAATACCGACCCCTGTAAGCATCCAGCTCTACGGGATACCTCGGTAATCGACGCCTCGTCGCCGATGACAGACACACCGATCTGCTGGCCTATTTCCAGAACACGATTTGCCCGATCATGCTCCCGTTGCTGGATGCGGTCAGGAATCCTTGGCTTCAAATATGTATGCCCATGTGGATTGATGGATTAGAGCCATCAAAACATCGATGGTGTCCTGACTCACGCCTACCAAGTGGTGGTGGACAGACCTGGGCCGCGAGGCGAGCAAATCCCCCAGGAACTCCTTCCCACTCTCCCCAGGTCGCCATTTCCTTATAAGGGAGAGAGCAAGGTACGTCCTTGCATAAAGCAGGGAATGTCCAATCTTGTTGCTTTGCATCCCACGTCTGTTTTTGTGTGGCCACTCGTGTTCCTGCACCGGCTTGCCGGTTGCATCGGTCAGAGACCTGTCGCCATGGCTGACTCCCTAGTCACTGCGAATATCTTTCTGTATGTAAATGTCGGTCTCAGCATCCTGGCCGACTGTGTTGCACCAGGGTCGAGCTCCTAGAACCTGCCTTTTTGCCTTTTCAGCGGCCACCGCCTAGATCAGTTTGCACTTGCAGTGATCCTGATCCTGGCTTCAACACGGCCATGGGCTCCGGCACATGCCAGCGGTGATTTCGATGATCTTCTTCAAAGGCTTATGATACCAGCATGTGTTTTCTGCTTCTGGGTTGCGGGCATTTTCTCGCATCCAAGATGGGAGCCTTCACTGAGACAACCAGCCAGAATCAGTCCGCTTCTCGTAAAGTGGGTACGAGACTTCTTGCACCGCCAGCTGCCGGCGACGGCAAACCGATGAGCACGAAAAGATGTCTTGCAACATGGAATACAGTATGATTCTGTCGTACGTGGCTCTTGGCTGACATCTCTCATAGGTGGCACTCCAAACATCGAGGAAGGCTCCGAATTGAACATTGTCGCCGCTCAGGACAAAGCCTATCTCACTGTCGCAATGGGGAAAACCAACAATGGTGTGTCGAGAATAAATCTGTCTCACCAATCACTCAGAGTGACATGGAACTCTCGCATGCTTTTCGATTGAAGCGTTCACGACTTGCTGACATTGAGAACCCAGGCCTGCCCCCTGCCTTGCGAATTTCAACTTCCTCAACTGATCGCGCATCAGCCGATCCAGACGGGCGACCAAGCTCCGCCGCCACCACTGCGTTCCCCGATCCTCCCAGTAAGATTGCCCTGGACGAGAATAAGAAAGCTTCTTCCCTTGGCCCAGCCATCACCACAAACAAACAGACGACAGGAGGCAAGGAGTTGATTAAAGCATCGGCTCAAATGAATGAAAGTCTTGCAACAAGTAACAGCAAACTTGAGGATTTGAAAACTAGAGCTCAGAGTCTTGAAAAGTTAGTCAAAGCGAAAGCACACAGTCTTCAGTCCCCAGCCTCTTCACGGAAAAATGTCTCGGGGCCTCTGGGGTGACAAACCGCTCGACGTGACCTGGCAGTCCAGTCGTTCCAATAGAATCCGCAGAATCACCACGAAGCGTTCACCTATTTTCATCAACACAGTACTCTGGACCTGCCGGAGCTGACACACCCCATTTCTTCGATTTCCTTTCTCTTCCCCTTTGACTGACAAGTGGTTTTCTCGCCCTTCTCATTCTCTCTAGGCGTGGCGCCAGATGCGTAGTGAATTACCATTTCGCGCTGAGGTCGACCAGTGGCGGGCTTCGTAATTGTGGTGTTGACTTCGTGAGTACTTTTCTTTGACTTGGACCAAGTGTTATCGCCCTGCTGTTTGTTGAATTGTAGCTCCAAAAGACGGCCAAAATTGGAGCTTTAAGGTCATGGTGTCACTTTCACGAGAGCTTGTCGTCGGTTTCCTCTTGGTCTGAGTGGAGGTTCCGCCGGGGGGGGGGGGGGGAGAGGGCGGCGTTCGTGGCATCGACATTGCCGCCGTGAGAACTTATCACTAGCGTTCGAGTCATCTGGTATTTGCTAATTCCGGCCGGTTAGCGGAATGCCTTCTTTACCAGACGGCCGGACCAAATACGGGCCTCAAGTTGCCTCGTGCATGATGTTTGATACAGAGACAAATTTTATACCGGGCTACGCCCGTGGCATAATGCAGACTTTTTCATTGCGGCTCCTCGGAATGCTATAACAGATGCAGAGATAGTTTCTGTCCTCGCACTGGCGACAAAAGCCTGGGACTTGACCCTTCAGCGCTTCCAAACCCAACCTGCAACTCAGCCGATTTTTGATCCTTGATTGAAAACCTTCTGTGGCTGGACGTCTTTGATAGTCGATCTTGCTCCGCATCCGCACTCGGTGTAACTCCAGCCGCCCTCAACGTCTGGCTGTTTCAGAAACACAAGGTATCATCAATGAAACCTGGCTAAGAATTCGGACATGCTAGTTTTTAGTGCGCAGCGGCTATTGACGAAGCTTAATCAATATGGCGAATTGGTTGAGATTGAGCGGTCAGACTTCTCCATGTGCAAAGACATCTCACTCGCAGTCATGACCATCTTGTTTATATCGAGCTGTCATACCATCTACAGGGGCCATTCCGACGACCCCATTTTTCCGGAAAACTCGGGTCGCTATTGCAATGGGGATGTCCGAACTCGTCCGGCAAAGGATCGCATTGACGTCCACCATCACGTTATTACTGACGTCTATCGAAAAGCAAGGCATTAGAGAATCATAGAAATCGGACGTCCAATAACTGTGAACACTTCTGGGCTTTGAGCTTGCTGGAGGCGACCCATCACACGCTTGACCTGTCGTGGACGAAAGACCGAAAGACGCGAGCCAATGTGACATACGTCCTGATCGCCACGCTCAACAGCGCCACGTGGATCTGGGCGGTGATTATACAAAAGTAATATCGAAGTACAGATCCCACGTTGGACTGGGGCGATCAAAATACCTTTGGACGTGGGTTTGGGCTGTAGGAAAGGTTTTCAGCAGATTTTTCTTTGGATGGATTTCCTCTTGGGAAGGAAAAGTGAAATGGAATGCAAATCTCAAATGACAAACGAGAACCCACGAGCCGGGGAGACCTAGGTAATTCATATAACGGCGAGATGAACGTCGTTTCGATATATTTCCTGATCTGGTGGTGGTGGCTAACAACCTGGGGCGGCGAATTGCCGTTCAAACCAACGAGTCATTACGGATCATCATATGAGAAGGGGGCAAGCATAGTAAAAGCAACGAGGACGATCTTTCCAAGGCCTATACTATCGCCCAAAAAGGGCACTTGGGCATGTCGAATCACAGTTGGTCACGAGTGAGCTGGTTTCACCATATATAGAGGCTATAGACTATCACTGACGCTGCAGCCTCGAAAAGTCCGCGACAAGCAGCTTGGGAAATGAACAAGCGGATTGTTTCACAGATTCTGCAAGTCGATCTCATCTCAAACAGGCAGCACATATGCATTTAAATGTCTGATGACCCACTGGGAGTCGCTTGCACTCCTCAGCCAAACAGTACAGTTTCTTTCGAGGCTGGCACGCTGCGCGGAAGAGTTGGTTTGACCATTTGCTCAAGGACCCTTCTCGGTCCCAGGAGGTCGCTGCGTTGTTGAGGCCGCTCTTCGCCTTGCGCCAATTTCATGCGCTGGAGCCCGGTGATATGATCGCGAGTCACCTCTTGGCCCATTTGCGGAACGGGACTCGCCGGTCCTCATGGCCGTCTTCATGCCTCCGTTCTCGCCCAAGTCCCGCTAGGAACTCACTTGATCGTCCACACGTTCATCCCCGGCGCCGGGGAGTCTGGTCGGCCGTCGGACGGGAAGTTGGACAGGATGCTCTGAGACACTCGCCCTGAAGCACTACACTTCCAAATTATCCAGCTTCAATGGCCTCTCTAGTCTACAGACCTCTAGCTTTCGAGGCGAGGCACTCTCTTCCATGATATTGTTTCCCATCACCATGTATTCACGCTTAGCAATTTGAGACTAGCGGTTTGGGGAATCCACAAGAACTACCACTACTGGTAAAGCAGCGCTCTATAACTGGTTTATAATGCGCTTATACTGCACAATCCTCGATTGCAGGTAATTGTCCACCTCAATCTTGACTCGCCATCGAAGCCAAAGTGAAAGAGTTTGAGCAGAACAGGTCCCAAAAGGTCAAACTCGAAATCGTGCTCGAAACGGTTGTACGGACCAGTGAATCCAAAGCAAAAGTTCTACAAAACTCGTGCGATAAGGCCCTCTCAGAGTCAAGTAAACTTCGCGTCGCGGATATTTGTACTTTGACACGATTAGAGAGAGTAACCAGTAGTTCTTCTTGCGACTGCCGCGGTCTTGCTCGCGCTTCTTGAGGAGCTGGGATTCAGAGAGGTTTCGTTCAGCTTCCGAGTCCATGTTGTCGTCGGAATATGAGCCAGAACCCCCGCCAGACTCGTCGTCCAGAGCTCTACCATGAGTTATGCAGATGTCAACTTCGGCATCGACACCATGACCACCTGTATCCTGACGGTGCCGTTTGCCATTTTCTTCCACTACGCGTATGACGTTTCCCCTTACGACATTACGAAGCCACGAATGCTCCCGTTGTCCGAGATCCCACCCCAGTACATCGCAAAGCACTTCCATCCCCCCTCCAAAATCGACCGACAGGTGTGCTTTACGTTCGAAGTCGTTGTATGTCTGTTGGTACTCGTCATGTCATATCATAGCCCGTCATGTTTCTCAAGGCTCGTGCGATCCTCCTTCGTTCTCGTCATACAATGCAGTGTTGAGCCTTTCATAAGAAGGGTGGCTGATCAAAAAATGCTGTTTCTTTCGTTAGTGCTGCGGGCGAAACATCTCGATTAGAAACGTTGATACCCACTACATGAGCTGGTCGATAGGCTTGCCGGTTCAAAACCCGTCGCCGCCGAGAATCACTCTAGAAATCGATCCCCTTTGAGTGTCAGACTTGTTGATGACTCTTTTGCAGTTGTTTCCATTTTGCATCGGAGCCGTCTCTCCAGCAGGTCCTAATTCCCCAATGGCCCTTCTATTCTGTCACTCGAGCAGCCAAAATCGCTTGGTTTCTTCCGAGTTCTGCCTAGATCACATGAAGCATTGCGGACGTTTGTGGCCTAGTCTAAAGACTTCAAGTCGCCCCTTCATCCAAGTCTCTTCTCCCTTTTTGCCTCTAACCCAGCAGCAACTGGCATTGCTATCTTTGTTTCTCCCAAGCTGTGCTTTTGGTTTATTTCCCCATTTATCTTCTTCGCTTCCCAGACTGGCACAAGATCTGAGCCGAAGAAAATATCACAAGGCTAAGCACAATATTGAAGGAAATGCTGCATGCATCTAGATTCCTGTAAAGATAGTCCAGTTTTTGCAATCTCCCTCTCCGGTCATAAGAAAGTACTCTGTACCTGGGCGGCTGTGAAAAAACCCTTCAACACGCCAGCCTCGAACGATGTCTGGTTGTCCGGCGCCGAGGGCGAGAATGATTTGAGTTGATAAAACATATATGCCTGCAGGGCGGCCTGTTGGAAGAAATCAACCACCACAAGGCACAACTTCTTCCTCAGTCCGAATGGGATCGGCTTCTGACCCTTGAGAGTCATCAAGAGGACCTGATCAAAGCTGGTGCCAGCGTTGGCAAGACATCATCATGATGAAGGGCATCTTCTGTTGCGGACATTCGGTACAGGCCATGGCTCGATCCTACAGCACACTGTGGTGCGTGAGGTGCATCTGGAGACTGGGCTGCACAGACTGCGCAGCGAATGTGGGAGGAGGAGAATAGAAGAATATGCCTACTCCGCAAAACTCAATGGCGTCGATCGACGAGGGCGCCGAACCCTAGCAGCAAGTCGCCAGCCGGGCACAGCCGACGGAGGTGCATCCCAGTGAACAGCAACAAAATCCGCAATGGCTAAAGAACCCCGACCCTGTAAGTCCCGGCCTGGAACCCGCCATATCCGGCAAGATCATGGAGGGGGCGTGGTCGAAGGGGACCTAGTCCAGAAGCTCGCGCCCAAGCAAGCATGACGGATGAGGCCATGATGCTGGAATCTAACAGACCAACGCCTGCAACACGACTTTCCTCCTCGTCTAGACCGGTTCGACATTTTGACTCGAGTGCCGCCAACATTGAAGGTCTTTCGCGCAAGCTTGGCCCATCGTTTTACCATTCGACAATTCCACCCATCCCAAAAACAAATTCCCTGCTTTTTGGGGCTCCTCTAGGTCACCAGAGACTCCCGTTTACTGTTGTACACGACTCCCTCCCATCCACCCCCCCGGCCCTTGTCGAAAATCTGGGTCGTGATGGGCTTGAAACCCTCGGCCAATACCTATGCATTCTGTCAGCCCCCGGTCTTCGGTAGAAAAGGACGTCTATACTGACAGGCCAGATTCTCATCTGTGCTCCCCACTCTCGCCATGGCCCATATCTGCGATCCGCCGCTCAGTAACCCGAGTCAGGCTGCTCAAACAGTCCCTGTTTGGCTAATTTTGGCCAATCTATGGCTGCTCTCTGTGCCCCCTTCTCTCCGGCCATCTGGCCATTCCCCACTTTCGTTCCTCAGCTCGTTCTGCGACGTTTTCCGTCCTTTGCAATGTGACCAGCAGACGTATCGTTTCCCAACCGCATGGCCAACGAAAAAACCATAGTAATGGCGGAGGACCGGGTCCGGTCCGCCGCCTTAAAGACTCAACAAAGTCCCGGGACTAGGACCACGCCGTTCAATCACCAAGCACACCTTGGTATCTCTCATTGAGCATGGTGCGGTGCCTGCAAACCTAGAATCAGACATGAAATACGTCGATAATGGCGCTCGCTACGTCTGCATTAACAAATGGCCTTTTTACGTCCTGCCGGATAACCTCATCCTGGGGAGTGGATTCCGCGCTGTTGTCCCACCGGGCGATGCGAGGGAGGGCTGGAACAGCATCCGGGTGTTGCATAAAGAGTTGCATCTCCTCCAGGAGGGCATAAAGGAAAACAGGATCGTCGTGGCTTCGAATCCCGCTCGCGATCTCGCACTGTTCGAAGATGGCCAATATGCTGGTTTCGAAGCTGACAATGTCTCCGGCGAATGCACCGTGGTTTCGCATGCCCATTTCTGGACCCGATCCCATGGGGCCATGCTAAACCTCCGACAGGTCGGAGCTCTCGAAGAGTTGTCTCGCAGGTACAAATTCTTTGCCGGCATTGAAGTCGACAACCTATTTCTCAGGGAGAAGGACAGAGACGGCTTGCGAGATGTTGGGGGAAAGTACAGTCTCACCTGTTGCGGTGCGGTCAAGTTCCTTGGGCCTAGGCCGCCGTCCATCACGAATAGCCTCGAGCTATACTACTTGTGCATACAACTACTCGAAGAGCGATAATAACTCGGACTCTGCCGCGCTCGACGAGTTATGACATACTCGATCCTCCCCCCAGAATCCCAACATCAACGGAAAAAGAGACGACACAGCGCCAAAAAGGGGGCGAACGATTCGCCCACGATAGTGTACAATACGAAAATCAAGGGTCGGGAGTGAAAAAGAACAACGCAGATGCTCTTATGCAAGTCGGCGGGGGCATTGGAGGGGTGCAAAGCAATTCCGTGTTTGTTTCCCTCGGGCGTAGCTATCTCTACAGGCAGACGTCTGTGCCTGAGTGTACGGAGCTTCGGGTGACCCGTGCCCACCGTGTATTGGCTTCAAGGCCAAAAATGCTCCGGTCTTTGCGTGGACTGTCGGTTGGCTCGGCCTGCCACAGGCTTAATCCCCAATCAAACTTGTTGCCCACTCTCCTCGCTCGCCATCATGAGTGCTGTCTTTCACATGACTTCTAGCCTGATATGGGATAGTTTGGCGTTCGACTATTCCACGACTAAACTGCGATGGCCAGGCTCGTTGCCGCCGCAGGTAGCCGGAGATAAGGTCATTTCAGGAAGGTACTACTCCCTTCCCTCTCCACGGTTCCTCCGCTTCACGAAAACGGCCGAGAATGGATGGAGATTCGCAGCCAAGACGGCAGCCCATGCGGGCCGGACCGAAGTGCTCAAAACTCAGGCCAGCAAGTCTCATCCCCAGCCGGCTAGCTCCCCCTCCCAGCGTCTCCTGGTAGACGGTTCACGCAACAGCTTAGCTGGCTCGTAGGGGAGTTCTCCGTGTCCCAAGACGTAATCATTAATAAAGTGTCGACGGCTGGAGGGCTACGTATATGTAGCCCGTCCCGGCGCCAATGTCCGCTCAATGTGAGCTATCGAGAGGGCAGTAAGGAGGTTTTCAGCGGTTGCTCCAGCATCAATTTCAGGTCGTTCGACGGCGTGGCGGCAAGGCTGGAAGTCTATTTGCGACCTGCGTGTCCATACGGGGAGGGATTCAGAAGCCTCTTCCGGTGCCATCAATTCCTTCCGTTTTTCAATTGTGGTCGGCTGCGGCGTTGCTACCGACCGTCATTCTGTGAGAAGGGCTGTGTGATTTCGATTCCCCGTGGTCCTGAGTATTCTTCTGCGGGTTGGGCCCTGTGCAAACAGGACTGCTTGGGTAATTGGGGCGGGCACAACAGCGGCGTTTGTTCCTTGTTTACTTCTGGTACCCCTAGCACCGCTCCGCTCCATCTGCTTCGTGGACTACAACTGCTTTGACCCCCCGTCCAGCAGCACAGCCCAAAGTCGGCTCGATCAGCGGCTGTGTGCCTGGATGCGCAGCTATCAGCCAGGCCTCGAAAGTGGCCTGCGCACGGCCCGCGGGTAGGCACGCAGCTTGAACTTGGTGACCACACAGAAACTCGCACCCGCACCGCGCAACGCTCATGGCAGGTCCGGCTCCTACGAGGCCCGCAGGGTCGTCCCGTCCATCTTGAACACCTCGGCCTCGAGCATGCTGTCCGGGTCATAGAAGTTGCCGTAATGTCGCGCGAGCCACGAGAAGGCCCACCGAGAGGATGCTCCCTCCGACCCCTTCGTCTTCGCTGTCAGCACCGACACCACCACCACTGGCCTTATTTGCGGCTCGGCTGGTAGTATCACTACTCGCGGCATCGCACCCGCCTCGCAGATGATGGTGTTTCTCGTCCCGCCTGTTCTGAGGTCCTTTTGGCCCTGGGCCAGCAGGAGCCATGCCACAATTTTGCGGCTGTCCTCGACTAATGCCTCCTTGTGGTGGGCTGACCACGGCCGACTAATCCTGGTGGTGGTTGCTCCTCGTCCTATTCCATTGGGTCCAGTACATCCCGAAGCAACAGTTGTAGCTCTTGGGCCTTCTGATTCTGAGAGGTCTCGTGTTGCTACAAGAATGAAGCAGAAGTTCAACCAGCGCGTACGTACTTCTGGTTGTCTCCCCGTGTGCCGTCGCCTCGCGATCTGGCTCGGTCCGCAGCCTCCAACGCCGGCAAGGCAGCCCGCTTGATAACATGGCAATCCAGGTGCAAGCACCAACCCAGCCACTGTCAATGGCACTGAATCAGTACGAACAACAGTTGCAAGCCAGCACACTACCGGGCCTTGCTGCGCGCTCAGCGGGCGGAGGTTGAGGCGCAAGACACGCGCGCGATCATGCCTGCCGCACCTTGGCTACGCCGTTGCAGATATCGGATCCTTTCAAGGTGGAAGTGCACCCGATTCATGACGTGGTCGAAAAGACGGAAGCTTTAGTGGAAATATGCATTTACGGTACGGCCCGAGTTTGACGCCTATAATGCCACTCTTTTCGCTCCTTCCGTGCCTGGGAAGAAACATCAAGCACAGAGGCACATCAAGCCTCGCACAGTGCCGTTCTCGCGGTCATGATGCGTGTTCTCGAGTCGATTTTTGACAATCTGCCGGACTGTACCTGATTTTCCAGCACAGCCCAATTAGAGTTCGAGTAGCGAGTGCGGGTCATGGGCACGCAGTTTGATTGGGCGTTGGTTGATGGCAGGGCGCACAATCTAATTTAGTCATGCTGGAATAATACTTTGTAGCAGGACAGTCGACCGCGCCAGGAGAAGTAGGCCAGTCGACCAAGCCACCATAACCAATATTACATCTTCACAGTCATCACTATCCAGTAAGTAAGTACCTCCATGAGACCAACACCTGTAGACCAAGGCCTCCTTTTCGACCCTTTTTCCAATTGTATACTTAAGAACTACGAAACTAACCCTACGCGAAAGCCATGTCTTCAAACCAATCCAGCAGCGAACAAGGGCACGAGAGCGAGGAGATGCTCCTCGAAGCCCACGAGACAACTTTAAGGGCGGAGGCTCTGGAGGAGCGAATACTCCGTTGGTTAGAAGCCGTTGAGGCTGGCCTTCGGGCTCAAAATCCACAATTGGAGGACGACGACGACGACGACGAGGATGAGGACGAGGATGAGGATGAGGACGAGGATGAGGATGAGGACGAGGACGAGATGCTTCTCGATACCTTCGAGGATAAGTGGGGGCCAGAGGCCCTAAACAACCAAGACGACGAGGATGAAGACGACGAGGACGAGGACGATGACGACGATGACGACGATGACAACGATGACGACGATGACGACGACAGCATGATCCTCGAGATCTAGAGGAGGGTGGCCTGGCAGTAACGGGGCAATGCCCAATGGGTGATTACAACCCTCCGTAACCACGTAAACCGTGGGAGTGCTCCCAGAGCGAGATAGCCAGCTCGCTACGGGCTCATAGAGCTCGCTACGAGCAATAGAAAATTGCTCGTATGAAACGTTTCCACTTCAAAATCAGCAATGCCCACGGCTTCAACAGCCACGAGACCGTGCTGGTGTGCCGCTTCGAGTACAATATCTGCTACAAGGGCGCCACGAGACCGTGTCCATCACCAAGCAACCCGTACAAGTGCTGGTTCACGTACGCGGACTGGAACGAAGGGTGTTGGCAGTGGCTACTGGCTGGCGGCGCCGGCATTGAGACTGGGTCATCCTGGCCGCTGTCTAAATCCTCGTCGCCGAACTGGTCCAGTGGCCGACGCCTTGGGCGCCTCCCCCTTCCCCCCCGGGCGCCTCCGAAACCCAGGTCAGTCCAGGAGAGGCCAGAGGCCAGAGGCCAGTGGGCAGAGATCATGGCTACATGTTCACCCCAATGGCGCACCCCGACATTTGCTCCGACGTTGTGCACCCCGGCATTGTTTACCCCGTGTTTTTTTAGCCCCGACATCATGTGTGCCCCGTATGTGAACTATGACTGTGCGAACTGAGCTTGTCGCGTATAGACAAAGGAAAGCGGTGGTGTCAAACAGTCGCATGGACAAAGGAAAGGGGTAGTGCCAAATAGTCGCGTGGACAAAGGAAAGGGGTGGTGTCAAATAGTCGTATGGACAAAGGAAAGCGAAGTTTGGATTGGACGCTGAATGCATGTCTTTGAGGGAGTTCAATGCACCGCAGTCTATCCAGCGCAGTCTGTCCAGAGCAGTCATGGCGTAGTCTGCAGTCATGCAGGGCAGACATGCAGGTCAGGCAGGCACTCTGCCACCCAGCCCTTGGCGCAGTCAGTTCACCGCACAATGCTCCTGGGCTTGTCGAAATATGCTCAGTATGCTTCCGCCCAGGGCTGCGAGCAGTCCAGACGTTCCTCTGCCTCCATTGTCCGTCCACCACTCATTCTTTCTGTCGTCGGACGCGAGATGTTTGGGCGGCTCTGCTCTGCCTGCTCTCCCCTGTTCTGCTCTGCTCTGCTTGCTCTGCCTCCTCTGCCTGTTCTGCTCTGCTCTGCTTGCTCTGCTTACTCTGCTTGCTCTGCTTGCTCTGCTCAAGACCGAGAGATTGGATAATATCGAAGCAATCACTTCAGCTCTCGCCCCCAGTGGCAGCTGGCTTCACCTCACCGGGGTTTGTTCCAGAAAAAAACAAAAGAAAAAGAGCCAGGAGGGCGACATGCATATTGCCAGAGGTTAAAGAGAAGGTATCTATGGGGGTCGTTGGGAACGGATAAATTCCCCGAATCCCTCGTCTTCTTCAGCAGCGATCACAGGCTGTCCACCCACCTCGTCTGCCACAGGAGCTTCGTGGTCTGCCGTAGGAAATCCTCTGTGTGGTGGTGGTGCCGCAGTCGACAGCGACCTGGCCGCCCCAATACTGGACGACGCCCACGACATTGTTGCCGTCACGAAGAGGTTCGTGCTCAAGCTCCTTCAAGCGTGCGGCGGTGCCGAAGCCGTATACTGACTGAGGAATGGTAGTCGTGCCCGTCAGCTTTCAGAAACCCAAGGTATGCATCCTGCGGCCTTGGGTATCTACCCTCTTCCAGTTCTGCGGAACACGGTGTCCAGTGCCCAAACCTGGCGTCTAATACCGTGACACTATGAATGGTCGACGCGGATCGATCGGCTCATAGCCCACAAGTCCCAACGATGCCATCGCTGGGGATTTTGCTAATGCACATCGATCTTATCCTTCCTCGAGGCCCTCCCTTCCAAACCGGTGCCGAAGCCGCATACTGACTGAGGAATGGCAGTCATGCCGTCAGCTTCGAGAAACGCTAGGGTGAGGTCAAGATCGTGTTCAACTAGCCGTACGGTCGGCTTCTGTGCGCGATTGGAACCGACTACGGCGTTTACATCTCCGAGTATCAAAATCCTCGGGGGCGGGGTCAGGGTGAGTCTATTCTGGGATGATTACTCACTCGACTAACTTCTTGTAGGCGTTCAAGGGCATGTTTTCCTTGAACCTGAGCACCAAGTCCTGTGGCTTCGGGTCTTCCATGCCCGCGTTCACCAAGAAGGCCAGCAGTATCGTCACGCAGCTCCTGACAATCGATTCCCTTTGCGCCCAAGGTGTCTGCCATCTGACGCATTGCTTCGAGATGACAAGCTTCATCAATGTATCCGAGACAATCCTCGACAGGAGTGTCCTGGACACCGTGGAAGATGGCGTCAAGAACGGTTGCATAGACCCCGTCAAGAGATGTCAAGCTCAGCCTCCTCTCACGAACCGAATCCAGGGCTCTGTGTGGTGGCGTGCTTGGTCGGGAACATCATCGTCTCCACTCCCTGCGCTGTATCTGGATACCTGGGTAGCCAGCTTGGTACCAACTTTCCGGGCACGTTCAGAGCATCGTTCGGCATGTTGGGGGTGCCGTGCATCATTTACTACGGCAGCTAAGTCAGTCTCGTTGGCCAAGCAGTTCAAGCTTGCACCACTGCCATCTGGCCGTCGTTCGCTCACTAGGAAGTCAACCCAATTCCAGCCTCGGCCAACGTGACAGCGCAACAAATTCTGTGCTTCTCGATCTTCTGGCTGAGGCCTGGGGCTTTTTGAACTGTTCCACCCCATCCCCCTCCGGCCACCTTGATCACCAAGCAGTATCGCCGCCATCTACAATCTTGAGCCTAGCGGGGCAAAGCCCTCACGCCAGTCCGTGGAGGAGAAACAAAAGCAGACTTACCACATCACTGAACGCCATCATCGGCTGAAACTTTTGGTTTGCGGTACATGCGTTGCGCAAGACACTTACTGGCAAGACCATCACGCTTGAGGTCGAGTCCAGCGAAATCCAAGATCCAGGACAAGGAGGGCATTCCGCCCGAACAGCAGCGCCTGATCTTCGCCGGCAAGCAACTCGATGATGGCCGCACCAGGTCCGACTACAACATCCAGAAGGACTCGACCCTGCACCCGGTCATCCACCTGCGTGGCGGCATGCAGATTTTCATGAAGACACTTACTGTCAAGACGATCACGCTGGAGGTTGAGTCGAGCGACACAATCAACAACATCAAGAGCAAGATTTAGGACAAGGAAGGGATCACATCCGACCAGCAGCGCCTGATCTTTGCGGGCAAGCAGCTGGAGGACGGCCGCACCAGGTCCGACTACAACATCCAGAAGGAATCGACGCTCCATCTCGTGCCCCGCCTCCGCGGCGGCATGCAGATTCTCGCGAATTGCGGCTTCGTCCCCGTTGGCCCCGTGGCCCTTTGTGTCAAGCAGCAACTTTCCATGATTCACGAGGTCAGCAGCCAGCGTCACTGGTCAGAACCGTTTCGTCTCGGCCAGGAAGGTCTGCAGAACAGCTCATGGTTTGGGATGTCTGCTTCTACAAAGGGAGAGCTTCTGCCTGGTACTTCCGGAACTGATTTTGGTGGGTCTGCGACTGGAATTGCATCTGTTTGACCACACCACGCTGATTGTGGAAACCAGAAACCACCTTCCGCGTGTCTTGCATTTGTCGCATGTTGGACTGGATCGTTTTGGACGGCCCGCTCAATGTGCCTTGCAGTGTTCCACGAGACTCGTCGCGGCACTACACGTGGGCCGATGTCAAAGAAGCCGCTGCGGCGTTTGGAGGCGGTCTACGCAACCTCCGGGACCGGGGGAAGGGCGACGTGCTGAACATCTACGCATCCAACGACGTCGACTTTACCCCCATCGTCTATCTATGGCGTCTTCTTCGCTAGCGGCATCATATCGCCCGCGAACCCCGCGTATTCGGCCGACGAGCTGTCCTTCCAGCTATCCAACTCTGGGTCCAAGGCGATCGTGACGGCGACGGACTTCCTGCCCACGGCCCTAAAGGCGGCCAAGATGTCCAACATCCCCGAGGACCGCGTGATCCTGCTGGGTAGTAAACGCGATCCGTCGCACCGGGTCAAGCACTGGACCAGCATCTGTAAGACGTGGATGGGTGGGCGAGACTGAGTCGATCCAGCCGCCGAGGGGCAGCATCACGTCGTCGACTTCCTTGGACGGGTATTTCCCGAACAACGTGAAGCTCAAGATGATCAGCGCCTACCTCGCCGTGACAAAGGCCCACCGACACCCACCACCGATCGGGCAAAGTCCATGTTTTCCACAAAGAGCAGCCGGAACAGCCAACAACATCCCCGTTGCCCCAGCAGGCTTGCCCGTCATGCCAGACCGGAGGCTGGCTCATGAGCCTAGTATGGAAAGTATTGATCAAAGTCTACATTCCGCCAGCTGGGTCGGTCCAGCACCCCAATCCCGCGGCAATTGCTCCAGTGAGAGGCATAGCAGCGTGCCTATTCCCGCCGAGCATCCAAAACAACATGGGCAGTCCGTTCCAGTCCCTGCCGAACAACAGCGGTAACGGCTCCAACACGGCAAAGAGGATGAGCAGTTCTCTGAGGAATGAGAGGGGGTGTCAGCATCTTCTCTAGCGAGTCCGAGCTCTTCCCGTGTCTCTACCCATCGCGCTATACACGTTGTTCCGCAAGAACATCAACCAGATCACGGCGGGGATCGCCTACGACCCGGCGAGCACGGATTCACAGTGCATCGTGGCCATCATCATGATGGCGGCCAGATACTCCCTCTACTTTAGTGGTGGACGCCGTACGGCCCGGAGAGCTTGTCTCTCGACACGGCCTACTAGTGGCTGTGTCTAGCCGTGAGCATTTCTTTTCAGATCGGCCTGCACCGGGACGGCAAGGTCCCGGTGAATGCGTCTCTCCAGCGCCGAATATGGCAGTCACTAGTGGTAAGTGCCCCATCGCGTCCACGACGTTGTTTTGTCGGTCAGACACTGGCCATTGACCTCGTGCACATCCAGGCCCGGGATTGCTGCATCAGTGTCGCGCATGGCAGGCCTCGTGCTGTCAAGCTCTACGACAGCGATGTTCCCATGCCCTGCGAGTCCGACTTCCGGGCATCAGGCCTGGCGATGCGCGGCGTCTGCATGGTCAGCGACGTGTACCTGGACAGCTTGATGCGCCGGTACGACAGACATCGAGGTCAAGTGTACGGCCTGTCAAGTGCACGGCATGGCTGAGGATCACGATTTGCACCGACTGCGAGAACAGACATCCCGGTCTGATCGAGAGGCCCTACACCAAAAGGCACACACAGAGCGACACGACCGACCACATGCTCCAAAACCCACGCAGGCAGACATGCGCAGCGCCACGCCTATACGCCAGGACGAACGGCTACCCGAACACCGACGGATACTGCCCTACGACCCTGGTCCACTGCGTGTGCTGGGACGCCTGCATGATCAGCGGCATTGTCTACATGTACTTCCAGGAGGTAAATGACTACGGTAAGCTAGAGAACCCTTTGATTCATCGCCACCATCATCGTCGTCTTCTTTGGGGGAAACTTGATCCAAAGACCCCAAGGTCTCGGTGCTGGTGATTGAAGCTGGTATCAAGAACGTCGATGCTCCTGTTGCTCCTCCAGGTACCGAACTTCCATGACTGACTTGAGAGGAGTAACACCAATGAGATCCCCGAGATTTTTACTTCAGCTCGTGCCTTTGAGCTGCGAGGAAGCCAGCATGGTTAGGGCAACAGCTTGATGCGGCGGTACGATAGATATCGAGGTCAACTGCACGGCGTAGCCGAGGATCACCATCTGCACGGGCTGCGAGAACAGACATCCCGGTCTGATCGAGACCCTAAACATATACAGGACCCCGTGAACAAGCTCGCCATCGCCTGAACCAGAAGAGGACGATGAGTGTACGGCCATGACCGGCACCGCCAACACCGGCGTGACCATCCCGTTGAGCACCGGCACTTACAAGAACAAGAACAAGAATATGGGGCGTCAACAGCGTCACAATCGAGGGCTCCAACATCGGCACGAGGGCATCCGGGCCCGCCTAGACGCCGGAGAACAAGATCCTCATTATCGCGCACGACCGTCGTGCCACGGCGTAGCCAAGTTACCGTGGGTGTGTGCAAGACGGGCATATTGACGTACGGGGAGCAGCAGATAAGGCAGGTACACGAACAGGTTTCAAAACGCGACCACGACCAGGGCCCATATCGACGAACACATCCAGCTACGCGACTACGAAGGTGTCGGGTCGGCGATCCCGGCGAGGAGGAGGAACATGATGGATATATATCCCACGAGGCCCAGCACGGCGCAGTCCACGGTCAAGGTCCAGTGCATCGACAACGGCCATGCACCAAAAAGTTGCCAAAGCCAAAAGGTTTGTCCATCAAACACGAACACACTCGAGGGCAGTCCAGCGCAGTCGCGCAGAGGGAGAAGGGCACTCGCAGAACTTTAAACTTTCTTCTCGACGCCCAGCACCCAGCACTCAGTCCCAGCGCACTACGCACGCCAGAGAACACTTCCAGAACTTCAACTTTTTGCACTCGGCACTCCCTCAGCAGCGCATTCCTCGACTTAAGCTTTGTTCTCAACGCAGACCTTCCCACTCACTCGCTCACTGTTCAGCGCAGTCAGCGAGTGAGTGAGTGAGGGGCGCAGTCAATGCATATCGTTTCTGTGAATGGAGGGAGACCCCGAGTTCGCTGGCTGGCTGCCTCCTGAGCAAGTCGAGTCCACCATCTGACAAATCTGCAAATGGCAATCAACAGCGACTGAACGCTTCACGTTGCGGTTGTTGCGTCAGGGCTGGGGCCTTTGCGATTCGTCATTCTCGCACTGGATGTTCTGGAAGCACCCTAGATAGAGGCTTCGATGTTGCATGAGAGTAAGAACGCGAAGCATTAGCTAGTCAGCCGCGTCCTCCATCCAATGACCCAGCTCTCGACCGATTTTTCGCATCACGGCTGCGTAAGTCTCCTCCCATTCAGCTCGTACCGACACTAGCTGACAACGTGAGAAAGATTCGCCGCTGTGGAGGTGGTGTTTATTGACAGCGCAAACGTCAATTCCACCCCCGCATGAAGGCGATTCCGCTGGAACTTTCCACCTCCTCTTGATTGTATTATTTATACTGTTCTCCGCTGAAAAATAAAACCCACGTGTATCGACATTTGGGATCTGGCTCGACCCGCCGAAGAGCAATGTTTTGTAATGGACATTGTAGATGTAGAGATGATATGCTCTGTCAAAGGAGTCAGCTCGGTTCTCAAAAAATGTTGGCCTTCGGTATATTCCACCCTTCAATTTGGTATCCGTGGCTTCTTTGTGATTTCCTGCATCCATAAAGTCACACAGCGGATGCGTCTTGTTGAATCCGAGGACAAATTGAATCTCTCGCGACCTTGCTAACAGCGCGCACAATGGCAATGCGAATGGTCCCATGCCGTCATCCTCGCCTCCCTCTTGCACCATGCAAGCCCTCCGGGATGCCGGCACACTGTCATCAGGCAGATTCCCCCACATAGCGGTCGTCGGCGCAGGCATCGCGGGACTTCGATACTCAGATGTCCTTGCTCGTAGCGGCGTCAAGGTGACACTGTTTGAAGCCCGAGATCCTATCGGCCGGAGAGTCCATCTTAACCCGCATGCACCCTGCTACTGGATCCTCACTCAGGTGGACTTGCCGTGGAAGAAGCTCTGAATGCGGTCATGCCAACCATGATGTCTGAACCGTGCCAGTGTTTCCCGACTCACCGCAGTCACAACGCCATCAAGCAATCAACCCCTCGAAGGAGAGACTTTGTGTTTGGCATAGCAACCGACTCACTGATGCCTCCCTGCTTTTCGATGGAGAGAGGGGTCCGTCGGCCAACGGTGCCTATGGGAACCAAGCTGCGTCAAACAGTTTCATCTCCTGCTAGTGGGCGCGTGCTGGCGCAGAGAGACGAGCACGGAGGCAGGCGGCTTCCTTCAGTGTTTGGTTGGTTCTTCGGGATGATTCTACCTGGACGGACCATGCCTTGCTCGGCCGGTGATATGGGTAGGCAGTCCTTCCTCGCCTTTCAGGGTGATGTGTGGAACGGCCAGCTGTGTAGTGTGTAGCAAAGTGGAAAATAGAGCAAAGCTGTTGCCACAAGCACAATGGCATCTCGATCGTACAAAAGGATCTGGAGCGTCAAGCAGTTGCTCCTCCCAGACGGTCGATCCTTCATGTGCGGGCAGCGACAGATTCCTCTCGTCCCATTGAAATCACCAATCTTCGCTGGTCCTCAACGATCGACCTGGCTCATCTTGGCTGCGCGGAGGGGAGCACTTAGGGCAGGGCCTATCGGCTGTGGGACCCTAGTTTGTAGTACAACAGAGCACTGTCAGTTGTAGCAATCGCCAAAGGGAGATGATGGCTTGGGGCCACTCCATGAGCTGCTGCTCTGTCGACAGTCCAGGACGCCTGCAGTTTCCCGCCATTGGCTACTTTGCCGAATTGTGCTAGTCCGTTAGCAATTCCTCTTATGCATATCGATGCATGGGACGGGAGGAGCAGGAAAAATTCCATTCGCACTATCCAACTGCTTCAGACAGCTTCAGCAGGTCGAAACAGGGACCCTGGTCGACGAACAGGTTGGTAAACAACCCAGTGCTCAGAACCGACATTCGTTTATATGGCGGACTCAACAGCAACGGCGACGCAACAGTACGCAACCCTTCACTAATAACAAACAAGCTCGCATTCCGGTAGCATCCGATTTTGTTGTCGCCCCAGCAGGGCCAATGGGCCAACCCAAGCACAGCCTTCTTCTTCCCCTTGAGTATTTACGATGAGCTCGGCGGTGGCTGTGAACTTTCTGCATTGTTTCGGTTGCCTTATTTTGCGTTATTCTGCCTCATTTTGAGAAGCGGGAGCGGAGAGCTTGATTTCTGGGGCTGCACCGAACGAATGCCAAAGCTGGGCATCAGTTTGGGCCTCAGCGTCCTCTCGCCGCGCGAGAATCGGGGCAAACTTTGGTACGGAACTTTGGTACGGAACAGTTCCCTACGACCGTCCGCAACGGCTTCTGTTAATGCCGTCTTTCCAGCCCATGAGTCTTGCTTCACATTGATATCGGCCCCTTCGTCGAGCAGCACCTGAATTCGTGTCACGTCCCCGTTCTCGATCGTGCCGACATATTGTCCGAACCATAACCTGAATTTGGGGGACTACAAGGAGGCTCGTGAGCACTCCCTTCAAAACCATCAAGATAAGGCTGCATATGAAAGCTTACAGTCAAAGCGGAAGGATTTCTTCAGTCCTAAAGACGGCATAATCAACAGAGACGACGATGATAATATTGATATTTCACGACTAAGTTATGTCCAGTGGTCTTAGGATCCGAATTCCTAAGAGTTCAGAATGACTTTTCTAAGACCTTAGCCCTTCGAAGACAACCGATTCTATACGAGGGCCGTGTGACTTAGATGTGGAAAGCCGTGGTAGAGTTTCGTTAATACGGATAATTAGCGCTTTCTTAGCCCGGAAGCTATCGACTTTCTAGATAAATTGAGATATAATCGCTAGGTATACTATTATTAAGCTCGTTAAGTATCCTCTAGCTAGATACTAATCTATTCTACGATAGGAACGCTTAACTACTTAGGAAGTAATAGCCTAACCTTACTTCACCCCGATGAGGAATACGGCAGTATAGTAGCAGTAGTAGAATTCCTAGAATTATATCTCTTAAAACGAGCATTACTAGTAAGTGTGACTGCCCATCCCTAGGGAAGGTCCACTGCAAAGGACAAGGGAATGGGGCATCCTAAGGAGATATCTCCGAATGAGTAATGAGAGATGACGATAATGCGACCTGATCGACAGACCATCCACCGCGCCGTCATTGCCGAGTCACTTTGGGTTCGTCAGACTGCAATTTTAGGACGTCGAGCCAGGGGCGAAAGCCGCCCTAGACCTCGAGGACGGGTGTGTGCAAAGAAGTCGGGAGACATAGAATCCCCCTACTCCTATTTCTCAGCCCCTGGTGATGGGGTTGTGTATTTGGATACAGTCTAGGGCGGGAGCAGGCAGCAGGCGTAGCCGAATCGATAGCTCCATCATCCGAGGGATTCAATCCTCGATCGACAAAGGATCCAGAGGGGCAGCGTCGGCGACATCTGGTCCCGACGCGACGGGCACAAACGAATGTGACTACAAGAGGAACCTTGCCCTCATCTATCAGCTTTTCCAGACCAGGATACTCTGAACAAGGGAGCAACCCTATCGTACACTCTGCTGTGTTCTAGATGCTAAATCGTCCTCCATTAACATGGTTGACAGTTTATCCCAAATCCATCAGAAAAGAGAAAGAGGCAGCCCGTTCCCGTCGGGTATCAATTGTCCTCAGTCAAGACTGGCCGCTATACTCTTGCGCCATCTCACAACAAAATATAACTCGGAAGTGCGGTTCAATTAGAAAGTGATTGAAATCTCTCAGGACGAGGAATAAAGGCTCACTGCAGGTCGGTCTTTGCCACAGTCTTGAGATGCAACAAAGGAGGGTAGCAATGTACCATCGGTATGCATACGAAGCTGCTAACTAGTGCGACAAACTTGTCTAGATCGCCCGCACTACCTCGAATCGGAGTTTTCACCTCCTTTGTA